CCATCCATCCATCCATCCATCCATCCATCCATCCATCCATCCATCCATCCATCCATCTATCTATCCATCCATCCATCCATCCATTCATCCATCCGTCCGTCCGTCCATCCATTCATCCATTCATCTATCCATCCACTTAACCACCCACTCACCCGCCGATCCATCTTAATCAGTCCATTTCATCCACCCAACCATTCATTATCAAGGGAACGACGCCTCTTCAACACAAGACCCTAGAGTCACCATACCAACAGCATATAAATAATCTAGTGTAATAATCCCCTATACTTCCATTTCCAAAAACTGATCCGCTAAAACCCTATTGTCACTCTCTTCTTCTCTAATGATCTCCGAACTCCAAAAGATAAGGTTTTGTAAGAAAATAGCGAACCAGACCGTGAAACTAATATTTTAAATCTCTCTGATCCGGTACTCTCGGATTTTTTTCTTGTTGAATTCAAGACTTTTTTTTTCAAACTCTGTGGAAATTAAGAACGCTTTTTTCTTTCTATGTTTAAATAAATCTTATCTGTTGTAAGCTTTCTGAAGCCGAACGATGCAAATTGTTGACTTAGCTTGTATATGARTGTATTTTTTTCTTTGGAAATAATTTATCGTTTATTGAATGTCGTCCCTCCCTTAAACAAATATGATTGTCTTTTTTTGATTCTGATTTCTTGAAAAAAAATATTTACTTCGAAATATAAACATCATCAATGGGTCTCTTTCGAATAGATGCTTTTSTGAAAAGTGCATAATCTAGATCGCTCATTATCACCATCTTCAACTGGATTTCTTTTTCATGCTTCATGTTGAGTAGCGCACGGCCTTGCGAAAATTTAGGGCCAAAATGAAAAAATAAACGCGTAATCTATATCTATGTGTTAGTATCTGTACCACGACGAATCGATATGAAATTCATTCACTGATTAAAAGTAAAAAAAAAATTATTTTGTATTTATACAAAAAAATAGATGTTTTGGCTACAATAGGTAGAACATGTTGRTTTAGCCTGTTTAGGCTTCGAAAAGACGAGGACTCAAGATGGAATTCACTATGCAAAGTAAAAAAAATGTATTCTGTATTTACACAAAAATAGATGTTTTGGCTACGATAGGTAGAACATGTTGGTTTAACCTGGTTTTGGCTTCTAAAAGACGACGATTCTAGATAAACTTCGCTTTGCAAAGTCAAAGAAAGTATTCAGTATTTATACAAAAAGAGATGTCTTGGCCTACAGTATAGGTAAAACATGTTGGTTTTGACTTTTAAAACACTCTTATTATAATTTACCGCAACGACTCAAGATGCAATTTACTATGCAGTTTTCACAAAATAACCTTTCTGAAACGATAGCGGAATATTGAGAAGAATGAAACCTTATAATTCCCAATATAAGCAATAAAGTCTCGAAACTAAACGCAGAATATATTTGACAATGGAATCAAAATTGAAATCATCTGATTGTCAGTAAAACGTAATTATAAACCAATAACGCATTTATTCCTTCCTAGAAAAAGAGGGTTTTTAGTACCTATTTGAAAGTTATTTATATAATAACTTTTAACTTAAAGAATGCGGTTCTTTCCGCACTTCCTTAACCAAGTTTGATCCCTTTTTCCTCTGTCATAGACGCTAATCAATTTATACTAAAGTGTTTTAAATTAAAGCTGAAATCCTCGAGCGAAATACTGATATCGAGCATTGGTTCTACGGTCCTCTTTGTGCGGAGCGCAATTCACCAATATTCAACGCATTTCTTTGAGCTATTAACAAGACTAACGCGCGCTTTGCGTTTGTTTAGATACCACACCGGAATCATGGAACTGTGAAGTCACAAAGTACCCATCTCAATCCAATATATCTAACTCTTATAACTTTCTTGATATTGCGTTGGAGACGTTATGAATATCTCCAACTAAACCGACTCAAACCTAGTAGTCTATGATCCCAAATAATGCTGATAACAATGTTTTTATTAAGTCCGGTTCATTGAAATAAAACGTGCCGTTTCTCACATAATTTCGCGCAATTTCGTCAGTTTTCAAAAAGAAATTCCCCACCAATCTTTGAAAAGTTAATACTGTGCATTCGCTGACTGAATTGCTCGTCTGTATTAGCGAACTCTGAATAGTTTACAAAGCATAAAAATAGCCCTTTGTTTGAGACCGGAACATCCAATGTTTAATTAAAATATGACTGGTAATATCGGCTGCATTTTTAGCGAGTTGGACGACTGTCTCCACGTACTGTAGTTTTAACAACGCCTATGGAATCACATTATATAACGTTATATAGTTGCTGGGGGAAGTCCCTATACTATTAAATAATATTCATATGAAAAACACTAATGTATATGAAATTTATGCTCTAAAACACGCTTTAATTTCTATTTAGCCTTGAGTAATTTTGAGTGTAATTGTTAGTCGACCCGGCCTGTTGCTAACTAATTTTCCGCGGTGCACATATTTTCCTTTGAATTCTTTAAAAAAACAAAAAATCTTTGATTTATCAAATAATTTACTGTTTCGTTTCGCTAGGACTTGAAGGATTTCTTTCTAGGATTTTCTTTTCACTTTGGAACCTCTAAAATGACGAAACATTAGCCTACCAGAACCTCTCTAACTCGGTCACCTCTGGAATACGGCCACCTTGTGAATTTTTGCTTAGTGTGCGTTATAATGAGGTTCGACCTTACCCGAGATTTGTCTTTTTTTTTTTCTACAAAGAAATACCAAATCTAAGGGCAACCATGCAATTTTATATGATAATCTTTAAAGAATGATGTTGGTAGTTATATGTCTTGATAGTAGATTTAGTTTTATTTAGAGAATCGTGTACATAAATCATTGAAAAAGATAAAGAGCCTTGCCAGGTTTAATGCTAATTCCGGCAGCAAAACTGGAGGTACCATCATTCAGCAACACAAATCATGTTTTGTGGTAAGAAGTTTGGTGGTATTTAGTAGTTGAATGGTGGTTTCTTTGAATTGAAAAGCACTTATGGAAAGTCCATGGCATAAAATCTTAGGACTATTTACTTCATATAAAGACCTTTTCAAGGTGTTTAATCATCTAAAGACAAATATGACATTCTTAAACCTACTTTTTCATCTTTAATGATCATTTACGTGTGTTTGCATAAGACAAGAATAGAACAACTAAGCTGATTACGAACCAACAAACTTGTAGTCAAAAAAAAGTAAAGAGAAAAAAAAAAATTCTTTTTAGTTTTAATTTTTTCTTGGTAAAGTCTAAGAACTGGTAGGTTTTTCAATGACAAAGAAAACTCCCAGCTTCGTTTAATTTACTGGATATTAGGATGAGAGTATAAGACACAACAGAAAAGTAAGCCCCTCTCTAGTTGTACTGTACAAAGTTTTGTCAACAACAATGAACCCCAAAAATCGAAAACGTTTGCGTGATTCTGATAGCGACCGGAACTTTTTTCCCTTGCCGAAGGTCAACAGGGTCGTTATTCACCAGCGATCCCGAACCTAAATTCACCCATCATTAACGAACGCTTGCAACCTATCTGAATGGGATTCCACTGTATAGTTATTTTTATCACAAATCGACAGCAAGGACTTCATGAATTATCCCCTTGTTTCTTTCGAGTTTAGACAGGTTCGACGGACTCAATCGGGACATTTGGGGTATTTTTATAGAATAAGAAGGATGAAAGAAGGACTCGCGGGAAATGGTCCATTCTATTTACTTCAGACAACCCCTCTGGGCCTCTTTTTTTTTTCTGACCAAGTTCTACACCTGCGAATACATAGGCCACTTAGTCATGCAGGAGTTTCTAGTTCATAAAACACGAAAGCTTTCTAAGGCCTCTTTGGAAGCATGTCTCGTAAACAATAGTCTAGAAAATATGCCTATTGCTGGATTAGCGCGAGTTTGCCTATCTAATACCGAATCTCCTTTAAGTGGCCTTCGGCTATTTTAGGCTGAAAAGTGCTACAATTTCTTCGAGGAAATATCTGTAGAAGACTTAAATCCTTTCCCCGCCTTCAACTTTCAACTTGAACAATAGAAAAGTTGTTCGGCTTACAATGAGCACTCTCTATCAACAACAACTCCGAATTATTCCTTGCTTTCTGCCTTTGTCAAGGTTTCACCGAGAAAGCACCAGAGATACGAACTGATTGCCCTTAAAAGATCAAACTAACATAATGCAAATTGTATATCAATTCTGAAGTGAGCCGTCATTTTTAAGAGCATATCGCAGCATGAAAAATGGCTATGTTAATAGCCAAGTGAAACTGTGAAGGGCTTTTTGGTGAAATAGATGTTTCCTCTGATGCGAATCGTTAAAAAAAAAACAATGTTGAATTTGCTCCGTGCCATCAAAGCCCAAAACAAAGGTAGAAGTTGATTCATTGTCCAAAAGCTGGTAATCTCTCCTAAGAGAGATGAGCCTGAACAACGGGTCTGTGGCCACTTTCGTCACCTTACTTTTGTGCAAACATGCCATAAATCATGCGAGGGCTTTTTGAATGATACGAAAATAAGATAATAGTTAGGTTTTAGCACCTTGTTGCTAGCTTGCGTTGAGAGATCTGTCATTATGCCGTTAAACGTCTTTAAGGGATTTACTTGAACTTTGATTTCATCTGACTTTTATTCAAAGTTAGATTTTTTTTTTAGTTTCTTATGCTGAATCAGAAATACCGAGGTTTTTCAAAAATAAATCCAGCCATCCACAAAAAAAACTAGAATTGAAATCAGTAATTACGCATTGTGCCACCCGGTTTTCGTGTTCTTTTTCATGGCACACTTTACTCGTTAGTCAAGTGTTTGGTTTTATAGTAAAGATTTCTTCGCGAATTACAAAATCATTTTATAACTCGAAGAAAAAGTTGTTAGATTCAAATCGAAAATTTCTTTCGTCATGAGCCTGAACGTGAGTTGGCTGTGTCCAAGTCGATGTCAAATTTGACACGAACGTCAATCATTGACAAGTGTATTGAGAACAATGAGCATTGTCAGGTGTGTTGTTCGCTTGAAGGCTTGAATATGGCTGGTCATGGCATCCTTTGAAGGACTCATAACTGACATCAGCAATCAACCTCCCCTCCCCTAAATCACCATCAGATAATGCCTAGCCATTTATAGTCAGATCCTATGGGCTTCACGAATAATTAGATTGACTAGTCAAGGGTCGACAAATTGCGGATTAAAAACTGCTATACTCCCAGGAGGATGGTCATTAACCATTAATTGAGGGTCCAGTTCACGTAAAACAGGAAACACATAAATTCATCCACAACAATAGAAGTCTAAAAGAGTTCTTTAGCATTTTAGTGTTATAAATCCGCGTGAAGGAGTCGAACCACTCAGTCGTGAATGTGGCGTGCGGTGGAGTAACATCTCGCTCGCACCATTTTCAAGTCAATATGGAAGGCCCAATTAGTGGTTTTGGGCTCCAATTTCCAGATTTAGGTCAAGAACTGAACATACCTCCTCATTTAAGGCAAAGTAGTGAAGCCTACAGGCAATCATCAAGATTTGGGCCGCCAATTTCGAATATGTTTACAAGCGACTACATATCCAAGAAACCAAGCTCCGAAGACGTACGCGGTCACTTTGGCCCCGGTTTGGATGGAATCGCTGATATTCACGACCAAGAACACGGTGATCTGCCTCTTTCTTCGTCCTCTATGGCCGAGAGCTACCTTTCAGCTACCACCACATCGTACGGATGCTCGTCTCAGGTACCGAACAGTATGCATCCTTATAGTAATCCACTTTCAGCATGTAACCCAATGAGCCAAGAAGCTTCTATACCACCTGATGGTGTCTATCATAGAGATGTCCACGGGGGTGCCTTTCCTATAGGCCCAGATTATAGTTCTGCTAAGGGAGACGGCAATCATCTTAGGCTGCACCCAGGTATTCCTAGTATTCCTCTACAGACACAAAAGCCAACTAATAACTTTAATATGAGGAATCTATTTCACGGACATAATGTGAACTCTGCGTATCCCGATGGAGGTGCTTCTATGTATAACTATTATCATCAAACAAGTGAACCCAAGATCGCTCATCTCTACCCACCTCGTCCTTACCCGGCCTACAACACCAGCAGTGCTTTTGAGCCGCCAGAAACTTCAATTTACTCGGCCGACAGCCATTGCTACTCAAAGGATGACTCGAAAAATCTTGGCGGTTTCCCTAGCCACAGAGGATCAGCTGACAGAGCCAAGCAATCGAACTCCTTACAGGGAGAAATCAAAGAAGTAGAAGACGTGGACGATAACAACCGATGTAAGAACACAGTCGAGGGCACGAAAACTTCAGTCAGAAGGTTTAAAAAGTGGTACAAAGACAAGACAGGAAAGTCACTGGATATGAACTCTCTGACAAAGCAACTGGCTGTAGATCTGCTCAAGGATTTCTTTCTCGAGATTCGAGACACAAGACCCGGCAAGGAGGGAAATGAATATGAGCCTGTTACTCTTACAACCTATAGAAATGGCCTACGAAGGTATTTCCTCGAGAGAAAATGCCCTCCAGCATTAGAAAACTTCGATTTAGCCGATCGGGAATTTGATGTTGTTAATTATGGCCTTGTTACAAAGAGAAACGAATTGAAGAGAAAAGGCAAGGGGAATCACCCGAATGTCGTGGAGAGTATAACCGAAGAACAGCTCGGCAGAATGTGGGCTTCAGGAGCGATCGGAGTGCACGCGCCTCGACCACTTCTGAGACTCCAATGGTGGATCAACACAGTCTGCCATGGCATTCGCGGCAGAATGGCCCACCACGACCTCAGCATTGATGACTTCAGGATCTCACGAGGGGCTGACGGCAAGATCGTGATCGATCATGTCAAAGCAGGGTCGAAGAGACAACGACTCGGCCCCGACGAGAAAGACTCTCAGAGAAACAAGAAGAGGTGCAAAGCAAGAGTCGCTGCCACCGATGGAGGGGAACGCGATCCGGTTCGCGCGTTCGAAGTCTATTTACGCCATCGTCCTCCAGGCATCTCGTCGTTTTATTTAACACCAAAGCACAAACCCAAGGGAGATATATGGTTCAACAAGGTACCTATGGGGAAGAACTCTATTGGAAGGATCATGCGAGAAATCAAAGCCATCGCTGGTATAGGGTAACGCCGCAGAAATCAACCCAGAGACCAAATCTATTTGTTATTCATATTCAAGACGAAGTAAATAAAGAAAACAGTGCATGCATAGTCTAGCAGGTACAAGAGACTTCGTAAAGTCATTTAGAGTCTTGACAAAAGACGAGGCTCAATATGTACAATATAGACACCTTGATTGAGGACTGAATAATCCGAATATTAATCGTAAAACGAAACACGAAAACTTTTAACCATAGAGTATATCTAGCTAAYATGAGTCTTAACTATCAAAGTATCTAATGTAAAACGGTGCAAAATAGGTCGATTTTTTTGTCTCTTTTGATAAATTACTTGGTGTTTTCGATTTGAAAATGAATCACGGTTATTCATTTTGCTAAAGGTTTTCTTCAGCATCGTTTTCTTTACGATGCTTTTGTTATTTCCCCAAGTGGAACGATCTCTTATTAATCAATATTATTCATAGTTTAGGGCGCCTCAGTGCCTATTCAAAAGGCCAACAGTTATATAAAATTTAGTGGTAGAAGATATTCTTATTGTAAATTAAACATAAGAACGTTTTAACTTATATAARTTTAGTGCCACAGGCGTAGAATTAGTTCAAAATTATACGTTTAATTGGTTCCCCGAGGGAGATTTCATGCAGGTTGTACAAAGAGTTCTTATCAGAATCAGTTAAAGTTTATTTTAACTACAAAGTCTAACTTTGTTTTAAAAAAATATTTAAGCTCTTAAGAATAGTATATTCATAGCCTAAAGTTTGGATTGTTTTAGTTTCTAAATTTCATTTTAAAAAGAACATAATAGTCTTCTAAAGTTTCAAAGTGTTCACATGATAGGTATACGTTTTAACCCTTTATTTTGTTTACCGATGATTAGAAAAGTATAGCCAGCCATAAAGATGTCGAAAATGTAAATAAAAATTATTGTACAAGAGTGAATTGAGCTTGTTTGAGTTGGTTCTATTTGTGATCGATAAGAAGAATGAAATCTTTTGATCTCTTATAAAGTCTTAAGCTGCTTCGCTGCTGTATATCAAAGTACAGGTCATCATAGCTGCAAATGAAAGGCACCTTGACAGGCCATATTTCTCGCAGAGTACATGTAAACGAAATCTCATTAATATACTACTCAATCGAAAATGACTAAATATAATTATTGTTTTCGCAAAGTGAGTTCAAAAGTTCGGGACATTGTCAGATTCTACCGACAACCAAATCTAGAATTTTCAAGTTATGATGTATACATGTTGGCGCATGATAGAGAGCGGATAAACGGTCTTAGGGGCAGATTTTTTCATTGTCAAAAAACGTTAGAAAAAAGAGGGCTCACGTGTATGCTTGATCTAACGTTCTGGCGAACAAATGTCACCTGAAGATTTTTATCTTTTTGCTGCCTATCTTTTGGAGCTTTTCTAAGAATCCTAAGAGTTTTTTTTTGACGAAAAARGATTTGATGTCGTTTGGAGCTACGCATATATACCGATAACCTGAAAGACAAAAGAAGCCTCTTTAATGTTTGATCAAGTTTCTTCCGTTGTTTCCTTTCTTGTGATTAATGAGCATGGATGATTCTTATTTCTCCCGTTTACAGTTTTTTTTTCCTCTCACTTTCCTTGAAAGCATCATTTTGGTCTTTGACACTCGACGTTTAAGTAGAAAAAAGGCGGTACTTCTTGTTAAAAAGGAATAAAAACCAAAACGGACAAGAAAAAACTTGTATCGATTTCACTTCAATTTCTCTCACGTTTATACACGTAATGTTCGTAAAAATTTTCTTGTCAAAATTTCGTGTCAAAAAGAGGAGTTACCGCACTTTATTAAAAATAATTAACAACAATAAGAGCGTGTTTTTATTTTATCTAAATCATTTCAATCACTCTTTATGTCTTTGAATCCTCACAGAAGCCCCACTAGGAACGGAAGACCACTTGCTGTGGCCCTCTTTAAGTTTGATTTTGAACTTTACTTAATCTATTGATTTCACACCCTAGTGTATTAGAAACACAATGGACTGACTGGGGCCGTAACACCTAACACAGTAGGTCTTACCTTATACCGTAAAACACAAGAGCCACACTTTGAAATCAAATTTACACACTGTAAAAAAACGTCTTTCATATCGCAGTCACACAGTTTAATAAAAAAAAAAAAAAAATTAAATTCAAACTAGACTATACTGTCAAAAACTTGGTCATTTTTCAAAGCTTTTTGGCTTTGGTTTATCATGTAGTGAGCTTACATTTTCCTTAAAATTATTTTGTAGGAATTTTTCCCCGGAACTTTTATTATTTGTATCATAATTCACGTGAAGTAATTTTCTTTATCACGGTTGCTTGACTTTCATCTAAGTAAAATCGTTCCTTAAGGGCATGCAATGTCAGTTAAGCGAACGAGAAGCATGATGAACACGGGAGAGAATTCGAAACAAACGAATCCAAAAAATCCCATATTTGGTTAACCGTCTTTCGATACAAATTCTTGCGAAAATAGAATCTTYTAAAATAGGTTTTCCGTGGGATTTTATGGAGTAAAAATTTTGTGATTTCCAGAAGCGGTGAAGGTATTATTCGCTTATATTTCCAAATAAGCAGTATCGATGAAATTGCGTGAAACGAACAAGCATCACTCTAATTATAATAATAGCTCAGAGGTACTCTCGCTCAATATCGGGGTCTTTAGTGATGTGATTCCATGAGGTTTTATGGTGTTCTTTTCACAGTTGAATGTGTATGCTCTCGTGGAGGTATGAAGAATGACTTGTTCTTTACAATTCTCAAAAAAACAAAATGATAACAATCCATTTTCCCTACATGGGAAGTTCAGAACTTCAAGTTTTCAAATTCTCATGGCAATGAAATGATAAAAATGACATGACAAAAACTTTGAATTATTTTCTAGAACAGTTTTGCGTGTTACRGACGAACTAGGGGTTGATATGGTTCAGGTTTAGTTCAGGTTTAGCGGTCAAGACTAAAATCAATTACCTAAGATTTGTCAGTTCAGCCATCACTTATTCCCTCCCTATATTACAAACGTTAATTAAAGAAATTACACCCTACCTCCCTTGAAAAAATTTCCTCCAAATTTTAGCAAAATTATACCTTCATTTTCATCCCCCTTGATCAAGTGTACGGCTTTTTGACGTTCAAACGATCCTTTAGTGATTAAAGAAGCAGCATTGTCTGTAGTCATTGTCTTTAAAAACGTCCCAAATTTTTGGACATTGGTCAATAAAGCACAGATACTTACTTTACCAAATAGCTGTCCTATTGAACTGATGTAAACGAAATGAAACTTCCCTAAGAACGCTTTTTTATACCTTAATATTTTGTGTGTATATTATAGGGACTGTATTATATGGTTCAACATTACGTTTGGGGTAAAATATCACTTAAACTTAACTTGACTTGAAAATTCCGAGTCACTATAGTAAACGAAATATAAGACGCGCAATTTTTTTAGTATTGTGGATCGTTTCTAAACCTGTGATATTTTATTGACTGAATGTTGTGGTCTTGTATTATTTACGTGTGACGCTTGGGCGACTCGTCTGAACTCCAGGCATTTTGCAGCCACTTAAGCGTGGACCTTTTCTTAAAGACTTTTAGCTAGTACATTAATCGTGTATTTTGCACGCCACAAGTTGAATKTAAGACCCCATGGAGTGCTGCTCTATTAGAATTCTTTTCAGAAGGTGTGCCCTGTGAAAACAGAACAAAAACAAACTCAATAGAGAAGCTAATCGCAAGACGCTTAGCATCCGCACGCCTGCAGGCTTGTGGACAAATCTATTCAAACCGCTCATGCTCTAGAATAAATATTTGCGACATAACGATGGTTTCAATGGGTTTATTTGCGYAGCTATTCACTTTGTTGATATAACTCTCGATTGATCGATCTAGCACTAGATCAAAAGAAACTCAAATATCACGAAGTTTTGACTTTGTTGACACATTAGAAAATTACCTSTAATGATCTTTACGAATCACAGCATTAAGCCCAGCAGCAAAACTACAAGATTATCTCTTTGTCTCATTGTTGAAATCTTCGCAGGGTGCCAAGCCGTTTAATGAACATTATCCGTTCTCTAGATATACAAAGATATAGAAACGGAGGCACTGTGCTGTGCGCACCGTATCATAGAGGCAGGGCTTAACTGGTCGTATTGACGCTCGGAATCAATAGACTTATTGACTGGGGAAGAATATGGACCATGTGTTATGTGATCCTCATTGAACGAGCTGTTCCGTCTTTGTTCTTTAACTGCTTGGTGTGTACTGTGTTGAATATCGCATGCTAGTCAATTGTTGGTTAATTTGACTTGCTACTAACTCTAATATCACTATTAATAAACATTGTGTATGCGACTTAAAGTCTTTTTAGTGTGTTTATGGGGAGTCACTCGCTCGTAGAATTTTGAATTTTGAATTTTTATTTGTTTCATTTCATTTAAATTCAATTTTGTTTAAAAAAAAAACATTTAAAAAATAGTCAGTCTTTATTTTATTTATTTTTTCTTCCTCACTGCCCATCTTCATCATTTACTTCTCTCTTTCGTTTTGATTAGAACTCGTACAACTATTTCAGTACATTTTTATATTTTCTATTCCTTCATTTCATTTCTTTCTTTCCTTTCTTTCTTTTTCTTTCACAATGTTGAACTTTGTCAAAAGTATTTGCTATTCAGTATTTTTCTTTTTCATTCGATAAACTCTTTTTCCCTTTAATTCAAAACAACAACAACAACAATAATAATAATAATAGTAATAATAACTAGATATTAATTCTTTTAGGACATATAGCTATTGTGATTAGGAACATCACTATTGTTATAGACAAGAGTCACTAGTTCATCGCATAAAGAGCAATTGTAATTAAAAGCTTTTTAGGGTTAGATTGGCCTTTAGGTTACGCTTTGCGCCCTACTGTGCTACTTGTATGGAGCATACTAAAGTTTAACACTGCTTTCATAATAATAATAATAATAATAATAATAACAACAATAATAATAATAATATCAACAATATTGCTTCAACAATTCAAAGTATGATTTCTCGCTTAATTTTTCATTTCTTTCTCTAATCGCTTTCGTAAAACCAAAGGCATTCCAACTTTATTTTTTATGCCGCTTTATTGGCATTCTCACTGTCAACCAAGCTATCTCATTCGCATCTAATATCTAAGTCCCTAGCTGTAGTATTGCCGAACCATATGAATTTCAAAATGTTTTTTCCCTACATCGCAACACAAAAGCATCATGAACTTCACACTTAACCCATCAAAGGGTTTTTTCATCCTCGTTCAAGCATCTTTGTCTAGGACTATATCTCTGAATTGTTTGATGTGCTGAGCAAACAAAACTATCTAGTTCTCCAATCTAGTCCTGGACTGCAAGTCTGTGTACCCAGTCGGATATACTATGGCAATCACTAGTGCGAATATAACAATTTTGAGCTAATCTGGCTTCTATTTACTGTTAAGTTTTCCTCAATTAATCAAGATTATCCCTTCGAATCTCTGTTGAATAGACAAACTTGTAATTAACTTCGCTTTGATTAATAACTTAACTTATCGTCCTTAGATTCTTTGTTATTGGACTGCGTAAATTCACACGCAAAAAAACCTTTATTTCGGGAATTCAAAGTGGTCCTAATACAGATCTCTGTGGTAATATTTAATACTAACTAGCTTTTGTTTGCTTTAGTTTTTAAGCTTAATTCAGAGGTTATTTCTTTAACAAACCGGTTTTTTTTTTCCATCCAGGGTCCACCGGCGGAAGTCTTAGCATCGATCATTGGACGATTAACCCACTTTGAAGAACTTATTAACCAATGTAAGTAATTCAATACTGATCCTAATTATCTTAACTATTACTACATCTGATTGTAACACACATATATATAATATACTCATTCATGTCGCCGAGAGGATTAGTGGCAATATCTTTTTTGAAGTAATTTAAACAAAATATTTGAACTTTTCCATACTGTCTTATCTGGTTTGTCGAAGAACTTATTAAGCAATGTAAGTAAAATACTGATCCTAATTATCTAACTATTACTCCATCGGATTGTAAAGGATATTTACTCATTCATGTCGCCGAGAGGATAAGGGGCAATATCTCTTTTAAAAGTAATTCAGACAAAATATTTGAACTTTTCCTTACTGTCTTATCTGTTTTGGCGAATGATATATTCCAAAGGCATATATTATGCTTGTATTAGTAGAGTGATTTTACTTGACCCGTGAAATATATAGTRAGCATAATACTTAGTATTAGACACTTATTCCATTGTTTTCTTTTTGTTTTACTTTGACTGTTAGTCACTAATTATACAACTGTTTCACGGGCTCATTATAATCACCCTAGCAGTAATTTTCTAATTTTTGATATTGCTTTTATTTATTATTTTCTATCTATAATTGTATTCAAAATGTATGGTTGGATGTTTTAAGGATTGGAAAAACTTTATCTAGATATACAAACGTTGTATTGTGAGTTCACGTTCTCATTGATCTTCCAAAGGCTTATTTATTTCATTATACCTTATCTGTTATTTTCTAACTAATCGTATTCAAAATTTATGGATGGATCAATATGGTAAGGATTGGAAAAACTTTATCTAGAACGTATAAGTATGACCGCTCTCAATGATCTTTYAGAGGATTTTTCTTTTCATCATACCTTGAACGCATAATTGGGAAACTATAGATTGAGTCAACCTGTAAGCAAATTATCTCCAATCCTCGAGTGTAAGAATGCAAAAAGACAAATGATTCAGTTCAAGATATATTGTCCACCAGTTCAACAGATAACGACTTGACGCCAACGAACTCTTCATGACTGGCTAGCTTCCCTTAAGCAGCCAAACCAGAACAGACCTTGCTTAACAGGATCCACGGGTTATCAGTCATCTTGATAGCATTTGTTTTCAGTCATTTATTTATTTATTATTTATTTATTTATTTTTTTCTTTCATTTAAACATATTTGACTAAGCATTTGCCCCAAAAGCTGTAAAGCTTAACAAGGGGGCTCACATCCATAATATTTACAGTACAAAGAAAGAAAATTAAACTACCAAAAGCGAAATGATGAAAACAGGAAATGAAAAAATAATCTTTGGTGAACAAAAAACGGTTTGTAGCTAATATGTACTTTTGTACTTCAGTGAAAAGTTCATGTTTTTTTTAAGTCTAAGTCTCTACAGCCATATAAAAACCAACTAAGTTTTTGCATTTTTGAAGAAACATCATTTTCTCAGTTTGGGGAGCTTTATTAAGAGCTGAAATCTTTGTGGATTGGCTCGGTTTATGTAATGTTTTTATTTTCTTCCAAGTGAAATATCTACTGCAACATTTAAAAATAGTGAAACTATGAATGCAAGTCCTCTGCCTTTTTCTTTTCCTTGTTTTCACTCACTCTCTCTCTCTCCTTTCTTACTTCTATACTTACTTCTCTCTAAAGCTTTTCTACTTTTTTTGCTCGCATTCTTTTCGTTTTTACTTTTTTTTTCGTTTTTTCGTTTTTTTTTTTTTTTTTTTTTTTTCACCCTCTCTTATTTTTATACTCTACTCTGTCGTTAGTTTTATACTCCATAGTTCTCGTTAGTATTATCGTTTTTCACGAGTATCCCAGTAAATTGAGTCGTATTCCTTAGGGTTGGATTAGTGGTATAATTTACCTTTGATTTCCAAGATAAAATTAGAAAAAAATTTCTACATAGAATTCCGTTTGACGGCGAAAGCATGTCAATAGATCCTGTGACCAACTCATTCAAACTCATTTATCCTAAACATTACTACAATACCATGAAATAATATCAGTTAATATCAGTACATAGAACACAAGAATTACCAAATTAACTTGATTAGATATTATTATACTGTTCATAATCTGGATCGATATATGAGCAGGCATAATCCTATTGCGATAATAGCGAGTTGTTAGGAATTATGGCTCCTTTGGATATAATAAGCACTTGAACGTCAACCCCACACACTTCATGTCAGGTCTTGCGAACATATCTAGCCTAACCAAAAATTCATTGAGTTCAACAATCCATGTTATGGATTATTAGAGGACGTATTGTTAAGGTTATAGGTTTTCACTCTTTCTTCCTCCCTTCATTTTTTCTGTTCTATCTTTTATTTCGTTTTCTGATTTTTTTTCTATTATTCGTTACGACGTGCTTCACGAACCTCTTTCTTGACAATGTTCCTTCAAAATGGGTTACAAACTGAATCATGCTTTTAGGCACACATCGTATCACCCATGCAACTTTGGTTTCATCCCTTTAAGAAAAACATACTAAGACAACCAAAATGTTTAAAAATAAATAAATGGAGGAAAAAGAAACAACGAAAGAGTTTAGGAAGTCGTAGATTAAATTCATCACTTCCTAACGCAACAGAACCAAATATTCCATTTATCCTGAAGAATCCACAGACAAACAAGACGTGATTCAAAATAATAATAAATAAATAAGTAAAACGTCATGTTTTACGAGGTAAACACTCGATAGGCCGTAGCTCAATAAACCTGCGGACCTTATTTTATTATCAGGTTCGAATTTGTACTGAATTTGATTTTGTATTCTATGCTACAAAGGTTGATTGATTGCCATTAAAGTTGAAGGGTTAGAAGCATTTAACTTATGCTAGGATTGTATAGTCAAAATGTGCCGCCACTTCTGCAGAGCATAATGGCATGTTTAGGTCCTCCAGACTACAGTTTAACCCCTCTTTCTTTATACTATTTATCTTTACGATTTTGATTCCAATCTCGTTTACATATACAGGTCAGTGTGACAAAACCGCAAAGGAACCTAAACAGGAAAAGACAGAAACGGAACATGCTGTTGCGACACAGACCTGAGGTACTTGAGCGCCAAAGCGGATTGTCAGAAGACGTAGCTACACACTCTACTTGTTCCGATCCATGATGCGTGCTTCACGCTATCCGCGAATCTAAACTTGCACGTACCAAGTCTTTATTGAAAACTTCCAAACTTACCAACAACCAGTTTTGCGATATATATTTATTTTCAAATTTAACGCTCATCTTATATAATGCGTTTTTGTAGAAGAATTTTCAACGCAGCGTTTATACAAATGGCTCGTAAAGTAAACTACGATCAAAATGATTTTTGTTTTTGTGTTTTTTTGTTTTTGTGTTTTTTTGTTTTTGTGTTTTTTTGTTGTTTTTTTTCAGCGAGGCAGATATTGGGTCGTAACATAGAAAGTGTAAATAATCGCTTATGAATCTCTTCTCTACAATATCACTTCCTTCGCTATATTTTCTTGTACACTGAAGTCATATTGGGGAGTTAACGCCTGACTTAGTTCGAGTCTTGACTCATATTATTCATACAAAACACAACGCTTGACCGACTGCAGCCACTCTTGTGGTTAGTATTGGAATAGTTTCACGTTCTGTTTTGACATTTCTGTAACCACCAGAAATAAAAATAAGCTAAGCTGACATTGTTTTGAACATTTTTAGGAGTTTAAGTCATGTGCTCACAAGAACGATTTCTCGCTTCGAAATCGTCAGTGTCTGAAAATAACTGGCATACCATTTTGAAGTGCTCTAAGCCAGGGTAACAAAATTTAGACTAATTAGACCTCAATATAATGTTTATATTTAGGGTTTGTCACGTGATGGCGAGCTCGTTTTCGCGGTAAAATTAACGGCTTATGTTCTGTATGCTGTCATTTGACTCTGGTATGAAAAACTCTGAAAAATGGTTGATTCTCCAGTGACAATTTTCGCAGCATTGCCCATACTTGTTCATTGGTCACGTGAATATACTTACATGCCTGACTTGGTGTCATCTTGATGACTAGACTTACATCACGTGTTCGTATGAGACAGGACATACATAGATGAGTCAATACGTAACGGCTTAAGGGCTTTCTTTGTATGTGGTTTTATTATGAACTTCAGTCTTGGCGTTTTCTGAATACTTTGGTGCATCGACAACTTTTTACCGGAAGCTCCAGTCAAATTTTTCAAATTAATGAAACCTCAAAACGTACTTTACGCATACACCAATCTCAGTGATGCTTGTCGAACAAATGCGTTAAAACATTTTACAACATGGAAAAGTTCCATGCATATTTACTATCGTAGAGCTTCAGCTCTCGTCTTCCTTTTTCTCTGAAAAACTTGTATTATTTTTTCATGGTTATCTTCAACATGATTACTCTCTCGTCTAAGATTGAAGAAGCAGTCAAATATTTAAATCGTGACATCAATCCACAAGAAGACACTCGTGTGGTTCTAATAATAATAATGGGAGGTTCTTGTATAGCGCATTTATACAACGTCTCAATGCGCTTTACATGAATGACCAGTGGAAGATTTTGCGGGCTGCATATTAGTTCTGCACTTGTCTCTTGTATCTTCCGCAGACTGCCCCCAACTCCTCCCAAGTAATGCCTACTAACCAAGCCAGCTGCACTGGCCCCTATATCTTTTTGTCCCATTGTCTGCCTGTCTGTCGGTCTGTATGTCTGTCTGTCTTACTTTTAAAATCTATACCGGCCTTGCCTTCTTAGTGGCTTTGCAACAAAATGACCTCTTCTGAAATGGCGTTGCAGCGTCTTTATTTATTTGTATTGTGAAACCCTCAAATTTTATCAAACCCTGAAACAACCACCGGATTGATAAAAGTCGGAACATAGTTGACTCCGTTGTCACAGATAGGATTGGAATTCAGCTTGCTTGGTTTTGCGGGTGGAAGGAAAACTGGAGAATCCAGAGGAAAACCCTTTTATCAAAGGAGAGACCTAACAAACTCTACTCACATGGGATGGGCCTCATTCACGCGGCAGCCATGTTGGATTGAGCAATAGATTCCACCACGCGTAGCCTCGAATTCAAGCGCTTGAGAATTAATTTATGCTGGGGAAACAGAGGTTTTTATTCTCATGAGAATAAACATGGCGGCCGTGTGATAAAGGTCCATGCCGAGTCCAAGACTTAAACACAACACCTACATATTTGTTTAACTCCCACGTTTCTTGGTAGCGTCATACCAGTTGCTTTTACAAAAGGTTTCCTGCCTGACCACCTGTCGTATTTGTGACATGAGCCAGGTTCTTCTGTACCCCACCCACATGTTGAGGATGGATGGGGCGTGTTGGGTGTCAGTATACATTGTTTCTTAAAACGCCCATTTTTTTGTAATGCAGATTATATCGTCCTTGCTTTTAAGAGAATAACACTTTATAGCCAGTGGCTAACAAACCTGTGGCCTCGTTCCATGATTGAATCGAAAAGTTTATTTTTGGGAAGGGAGAAAACCAAAGAAAAACTCTCAAAGCAAAGGAGAGAACCAACAATACACTCATAACTCCCATTTTCCCGTGAATTACTTTGTCCAAAATTGGAAGAAAATAAGTTTCCAATTTTTATTTTCCAACATTTTTTCGTATACAGTAAAATTCTTTGTCAAGAACACCTGTACTTTTAACTTACATATTTGATATAAAACGAGAAGATTGTGGGGCAATTTAGTAACAGTTTGTTGTCTACTTTAAGACCTTTTAGGATTTTGAATTCTGGTGACACTTTAAAATATTTGGTGCGTTGTGAGAGTTGCTTGATCTCCTAGTTATTTAACTGCTCTTTTCGCATGTGAGTCAGTTTATTTGCTTAGTTCATATTTCCGGCCAACGCTCTTTTATTTGGTTCCTTCTTATTTTTTTCTCATGCGATTACATTCTCTTCTGCAGGCACGTTTCTTCTGAAACGAAAAGAAAAAAATGGAAACTTTTTTACCTTCAAATTTTTGTCACGAAATTTAAAATTTCCATTTATTTGAATGATATTTCTTGTATTCCATTTTATATATCGTTTCATTTATCGGAATCATTGTTCTTATGGCATACTGACTAATTTAGTCCTTATATTTATTCGTGTGGTTCAATTTTCAACACAAAAGGAATCCTTATCTCACCGAAATCTTACTTGATTAATACATCTAAACACTTGTGCGCTATACAAAGGCTTTGCGTGCGTTTGGAATTTTTGTGTGTGTTTTTGTTATTATATAGAGAAAACCGCTTTGAGTCGTAAGTTACACAAACTTTTAGTTTTGTCTAAAAAAAATTTCATTCCGCAGTCAAATTAGATTTTTTGATTTTATTTTTGGGATAAAACCATAAAGTCTGAGGCTTGTGCACTGGTTTTTATTTGAAAGGTAACGACGGAGAGTCTAGCAGTTTTTATGTAGTCTCCGTTAAATATCTTTTATGACTTAATGAAATCTTGAGTTATGAATTAGAGAAATGAAGAAAAAAGGAAAACTTTTGAATAAAGCTAGAAAAAATAACGTAAGAAAAGACCGGCAATTCTTGATTGCTAGGAAAAAAAGAAAAACAAAACTTAGCTAAATTTAAATAAAATAAAGCAGCATCTAATGTGCATGAAAAAGGGAACATCATCTTAAGAAGCTCTTTTATCAATCTTCAAAATGAAGCCTTTTTTTTTATGAAATTATGTTTAATTAAATAAAGCTATCCATTTCAGTGGATAGATATATCTCCGAGTAGAGACATCTGTTTTTGAGTAGACTACTTCTTTGCTTCGGTAGATGTAATCTGTACAAGATTTGGTACATTTTGCGTCCAGAATGACAAATGACTCCATTAGAGGCATCGAAAAGTCAGCCACGTTAAACTCGTTTTCTTCCGTTACACTAAGCCATCAATGAAACCCTCTTGTTTCAAATCAAGTGGATTATTAATATTAATATCAATGCTTAACCTTGTTGGATACTGTTATCTTTTGCCTAAAGTCCTATCCACACACGCATCTCGGTCTCTTGTGATACCTATCTGTATGTTCCGTTTTACATCCCGCTCTTATCGCGCGCTCTTCAGCTAAATCAGCGACTGCTAATTCACCATAAATCAACCGCAGTGTGAGTGATTTACGTACGCCTGATGCGTAACAAACCTGCATTTTTCATTCTGTGGGTCGTATCCCTCGGGCTAGAGCCTAGAAGAAACGTTAATGACATTATTTCGACAGGTCATTTTTAACCAGTGATGCCATTGATAATAATTGGGGAGACATGTATTCACTAAACTCATAGAACCGTCTGACACAAACACAAAACTAGTGTTCAAAATATGATACATCACTCTCCAGCTAGATAGAAAACTTACTTAGCATTTTTTGTTAAATAATTTTATAACATGCTCTAAAGGACGAATGATTTTGATTGTAAAGCGTTCAAAAGCGGATCATTTGGAGAATGGCTTGTCGCACTTGTTTTTGTTCTTTTGGGTTCTTTTGTTAATTTTTCGAAATCTTTTTTTGTTATAAAAAAAAATCAGTGTTTTTTTAAGCTGTAATGATTAAACGTTTTTAAAACGTTTAGAAACTCTTTTCAGGGGATTCAGGACTGATTTCATTGTGTGCTGAAAAGTTTATAGGACGTTTGTTCGACGCTTGATAGAGTTTGAAAATATGTCGTTAAACCCCACGTGTTAAGGCCAATTTGTATGGGATGGTCTCTTAGCTGCATCCTCATGCACCAATGCTCTTGCTCTTGAATTGAATCCACGCAGGACTGTAAGAGGTCTAGAAACTTGTGGAAAGCATTTTGACCTAGAATACCTATTGCCCCTTGTACTGGTAGCAGTACCACGGCAATCTTAGTTTTACTTACAGCATTTTATACTAGAATTTTCTGGGCATTTTAATGCGTGTATTATCCTGTCACACAAAGTCAAAAAGTCAAAGCAACGGACATAACAATGATAAATTACCGGATTGATTAAAAGGTTGGGATTTTTTTTGTCAAAAAAATCGTTCAAAACAAAATTACTCATTTCTTCTAAGTATCATTTGAAGTATCGTGCAAAGCTGTTTACCATATATCCAGACATTTTGTCTAGGACACTCTTGTTTGTCGCCTTCAGCACATGTAATGCTAAAGAAGTCGTTAATTATCGCTCTAAAACATATTCTTTGTTTTCAGTTTATTTGAACTGCCTTTGTTGGCCAGACACAGTCACCTCCCCGAACACTCGCCCCACTCGTCAGTGACGTGCCCAACCTAAAGTTATTACATGACTAGATCGATTACACTCAGTCTGTTCTCATCGATCCG